ATTGTTCATAGTGTAGCATTATGTTAGTGTATCATTATTTAATTGTTCATAGTGTAGCATTATGTTAGTGTATCATTATTTAATTGTTCATAGTGTAGCATTATGTTAGTGTATCATTATTTAATTGTTCATAGTGTAGCATTATGTTAGTGTATCATTATTTAATTGTTCATAGTGTAGCATTATGTTAGTGTATCATTATTTAATTGTTCATAGTGTAGCATTATGTTAGTGTATCATTATTTAATTGTTCATAGTGTAGCATTATGTTAGTGTATCATTATTTAATTGTTCATAGTGTAGCATTATGTTAGTGTATCATTATTTAATTGTTCATAGTGTAGCATTATGTTAGTGTATCATTATTTAATTGTTCATAGTGTAGCATTATGTTAGTGTATCATTATTTAATTGTTCATAGTGTAGCATTATGTTAGTGTATCATTATTTAATTGTTCATAGTGTAGCATTATGTTAGTGTATCATTATTTAATTGTTCATAGTGTAGCATTATGTTAGTGTATCATTATTTAATTGTTCATAGTGTAGCATTATGTTAGTGTATCATTATTTAATTGTTCATAGTGTAGCATTATGTTAGTGTATCATTATTTAATTGTTCATAGTGTAGCATTATGTTAGTGTATCATTATTTAATTGTTCATAGTGTAGCATTATGTTAGTGTATCATTATTTAATTGTTCATAGTGTAGCATTATGTTAGTGTATCATTATTTAATTGTTCATAGTGTAGCATTATGTTAGTGTATCATTATTTAATTGTTCATAGTGTAGCATTATGTTAGTGTATCATTATTTAATTGTTCATAGTGTAGCATTATGTTAGTGTATCATTATTTAATTGTTCATAGTGTAGCATTATGTTAGTGTATCATTATTTAATTGTTCATAGTGTAGCATTATGTTAGTGTATCATTATTTAATTGTTCATAGTGTAGCATTATGTTAGTGTATCATTATTTAATTGTTCATAGTGTAGCATTATGTTAGTGTATCATTATTTAATTGTTCATAGTGTAGCATTATGTTAGTGTATCATTATTTAATTGTTCATAGTGTAGCATTATGTTAGTGTATCATTATTTAATTGTTCATAGTGTAGCATTATGTTAGTGTATCATTATTTAATTGTTCATAGTGTAGCATTATGTTAGTGTATCATTATTTAATTGTTCATAGTGTAGCATTATGTTAGTGTATCATTATTTAATTGTTCATAGTGTAGCATTATGTTAGTGTATCATTATTTAATTGTTCATAGTGTAGCATTATGTTAGTGTATCATTATTTAATTGTTCATAGTGTAGCATTATGTTAGTGTATCATTATTTAATTGTTCATAGTGTAGCATTATGTTAGTGTATCATTATTTAATTGTTCATAGTGTAGCATTATGTTAGTGTATCATTATTTAATTGTTCATAGTGTAGCATTATGTTAGTGTATCATTATTTAATTGTTCATAGTGTAGCATTATGTTAGTGTATCATTATTTAATTGTTCATAGTGTAGCATTATGTTAGTGTATCATTATTTAATTGTTCATAGTGTAGCATTATGTTAGTGTATCATTATTTAATTGTTCATAGTGTAGCATTATGTTAGTGTATCATTATTTAATTGTTCATAGTGTAGCATTATGTTAGTGTATCATTATTTAATTGTTCATAGTGTAGCATTATGTTAGTGTATCATTATTTAATTGTTCATAGTGTAGCATTATGTTAGTGTATCATTATTTAATTGTTCATAGTGTAGCATTATGTTAGTGTATCATTATTTAATTGTTCATAGTGTAGCATTATGTTAGTGTATCATTATTTAATTGTTCATAGTGTAGCATTATGTTAGTGTATCATTATTTAATTGTTCATAGTGTAGCATTATGTTAGTGTATCATTATTTAATTGTTCATAGTGTAGCATTATGTTAGTGTATCATTATTTAATTGTTCATAGTGTAGCATTATGTTAGTGTATCATTATTTAATTGTTCATAGTGTAGCATTATGTTAGTGTATCATTATTTAATTGTTCATAGTGTAGCATTATGTTAGTGTATCATTATTTAATTGTTCATAGTGTAGCATTATGTTAGTGTATCATTATTTAATTGTTCATAGTGTAGCATTATGTTAGTGTATCATTATTTAATTGTTCATAGTGTAGCATTATGTTAGTGTATCATTATTTAATTGTTCATAGTGTAGCATTATGTTAGTGTATCATTATTTAATTGTTCATAGTGTAGCATTATGTTAGTGTATCATTATTTAATTGTTCATAGTGTAGCATTATGTTAGTGTATCATTATTTAATTGTTCATAGTGTAGCATTATGTTAGTGTATCATTATTTAATTGTTCATAGTGTAGCATTATGTTAGTGTATCATTATTTAATTGTTCATAGTGTAGCATTATGTTAGTGTATCATTATTTAATTGTTCATAGTGTAGCATTATGTTAGTGTATCATTATTTAATTGTTCATAGTGTAGCATTATGTTAGTGTATCATTATTTAATTGTTCATAGTGTAGCATTATGTTAGTGTATCATTATTTAATTGTTCATAGTGTAGCATTATGTTAGTGTATCATTATTTAATTGTTCATAGTGTAGCATTATGTTAGTGTATCATTATTTAATTGTTCATAGTGTAGCATTATGTTAGTGTATCATTATTTAATTGTTCATAGTGTAGCATTATGTTAGTGTATCATTATTTAATTGTTCATAGTGTAGCATTATGTTAGTGTATCATTATTTAATTGTTCATAGTGTAGCATTATGTTAGTGTATCATTATTTAATTGTTCATAGTGTAGCATTATGTTAGTGTATCATTATTTAATTGTTCATAGTGTAGCATTATGTTAGTGTATCATTATTTAATTGTTCATAGTGTAGCATTATGTTAGTGTATCATTATTTAATTGTTCATAGTGTAGCATTATGTTAGTGTATCATTATTTAATTGTTCATAGTGTAGCATTATGTTAGTGTATCATTATTTAATTGTTCATAGTGTAGCATTATGTTAGTGTATCATTATTTAATTGTTCATAGTGTAGCATTATGTTAGTGTATCATTATTTAATTGTTCATAGTGTAGCATTATGTTAGTGTATCATTATTTAATTGTTCATAGTGTAGCATTATGTTAGTGTATCATTATTTAATTGTTCATAGTGTAGCATTATGTTAGTGTATCATTATTTAATTGTTCATAGTGTAGCATTATGTTAGTGTATCATTATTTAATTGTTCATAGTGTAGCATTATGTTAGTGTATCATTATTTAATTGTTCATAGTGTAGCATTATGTTAGTGTATCATTATTTAATTGTTCATAGTGTAGCATTATGTTAGTGTATCATTATTTAATTGTTCATAGTGTAGCATTATGTTAGTGTATCATTATTTAATTGTTCATAGTGTAGCATTATGTTAGTGTATCATTATTTAATTGTTCATAGTGTAGCATTATGTTAGTGTATCATTATTTAATTGTTCATAGTGTAGCATTATGTTAGTGTATCATTATTTAATTGTTCATAGTGTAGCATTATGTTAGTGTATCATTATTTAATTGTTCATAGTGTAGCATTATGTTAGTGTATCATTATTTAATTGTTCATAGTGTAGCATTATGTTAGTGTATCATTATTTAATTGTTCATAGTGTAGCATTATGTTAGTGTATCATTATTTAATTGTTCATAGTGTAGCATTATGTTAGTGTATCATTATTTAATTGTTCATAGTGTAGCATTATGTTAGTGTATCATTATTTAATTGTTCATAGTGTAGCATTATGTTAGTGTATCATTATTTAATTGTTCATAGTGTAGCATTATGTTAGTGTATCATTATTTAATTGTTCATAGTGTAGCATTATGTTAGTGTATCATTATTTAATTGTTCATAGTGTAGCATTATGTTAGTGTATCATTATTTAATTGTTCATAGTGTAGCATTATGTTAGTGTATCATTATTTAATTGTTCATAGTGTAGCATTATGTTAGTGTATCATTATTTAATTGTTCATAGTGTAGCATTATGTTAGTGTATCATTATTTAATTGTTCATAGTGTAGCATTATGTTAGTGTATCATTATTTAATTGTTCATAGTGTAGCATTATGTTAGTGTATCATTATTTAATTGTTCATAGTGTAGCATTATGTTAGTGTATCATTATTTAATTGTTCATAGTGTAGCATTATGTTAGTGTATCATTATTTAATTGTTCATAGTGTAGCATTATGTTAGTGTATCATTATTTAATTGTTCATAGTGTAGCATTATGTTAGTGTATCATTATTTAATTGTTCATAGTGTAGCATTATGTTAGTGTATCATTATTTAATTGTTCATAGTGTAGCATTATGTTAGTGTATCATTATTTAATTGTTCATAGTGTAGCATTATGTTAGTGTATCATTATTTAATTGTTCATAGTGTAGCATTATGTTAGTGTATCATTATTTAATTGTTCATAGTGTAGCATTATGTTAGTGTATCATTATTTAATTGTTCATAGTGTAGCATTATGTTAGTGTATCATTATTTAATTGTTCATAGTGTAGCATTATGTTAGTGTATCATTATTTAATTGTTCATAGTGTAGCATTATGTTAGTGTATCATTATTTAATTGTTCATAGTGTAGCATTATGTTAGTGTATCATTATTTAATTGTTCATAGTGTAGCATTATGTTAGTGTATCATTATTTAATTGTTCATAGTGTAGCATTATGTTAGTGTATCATTATTTAATTGTTCATAGTGTAGCATTATGTTAGTGTATCATTATTTAATTGTTCATAGTGTAGCATTATGTTAGTGTATCATTATTTGAAATTTTGTGGATTAATTATTGTTAACATCTACCTAGATGGCTTAATATCATGGTTTGTCGCTATTAAGATATAATTTAAGATTAAGATAATTTATTTATCACATAAAATATAAATAATCTATTTTTTCATACATCGCACGAGTTACCGCTAGTACAAAAAGAACCTAATGTATTTCTACATTGCATAATAACTATTCCTTGATTATGACCTACAATGAAACCAAATAATTATAAAGAAACAAAAGAATAAAAAAAATCTCAAAGATAATACAAGTCATCTCTGCTTGCATGCAAATACCGATGGACAAACTAATTTCCCTGTCCAGGGCTCGGACCGGAGTGCTTCATCTCCTCCAAAACGCTTTTATTATCACCGAACTGACATCCCTTTCCTCTAGGGCTCAGACCAGAGTTTTTAACTCCCCCGAGAGTTTGAGCATTGGTGAACCCATTCCCTCCTCCGGAGCTTGGACCAGAGTTCTTGACAGCATTCGTGAACCTGTTCCCCTGTCCAGGGCTTGGACCAGAGTTCTTGACATCCCCGAGAGTTTGAGCATTGGTGACCTTATTCCCTTGTCCGGGACTTGGACCGGAGTTCTTGACATCCCCGAGAGCTTGAGCATTGGTGAACTTATTCCCTTGTCCAGGACTTGGACCAGAGTTCTTGACACCCCCGAGAGTTTGAGCATTGGTGAACTTATTCCCTTGTCCGGGGCTTGGACTGGAGTTCTTGACATACCCGGGAGTTTGAGCATTGGTGACCTTATTCCCTTGTCCAGGACTTGGACCAGAGTTCTTGACATCCCCGAGAGTTTGAGCATTGGTGAACTTATTCCCTTGTCCAGGGCTTGGACCGGAGTTTTTGACATTGCCAAGGGTTTGAGCATTGGTAAAGTCAAGTCCGTATCTGCCAGCTTTTGGACCTCCGGTTTTTATTGTTTCAATGTAGAACCCTTCCAAGATATTCTGAATTGCTTCGGCTACAGAGCCACGAGGCTTAGCAGCATTGAGAGGACGAGCTTTGGCAATAAAAAAGGAAGAGCTCACGAGGAGAACAGCCACGAACAAGGTGAGAAACTTGAGATTTTGGGCCATTTTGGAATCGAAGATGGTAGTTAAAATGCACGGGAAAGTGTTGAGACTGTTATATACTATTGAGAGAGAGAGAGAGAGAGAGAACACTAGGTGGGTTGAGGTGAGATTGGTAGACTCTCTATTTATAGGGAATGTTATATGTAATATATGAAGAGGGAAATGAAGCATAGATTTAAACACGTGGGTGTGTTGAAAGCGGGGGATAGTGGTGGTGAGGTGTGCAGACACCTCAAAATTTTTTTAATGTTTTGGGGAATCAACGAGGGAGCTTCCTATCTAAAAAAAAAAAATGAGGGAGCTTCAAAATATGGTTGCAGGAAACAACACAAGTTCAACAGAAATACCAGAATGTTAGTCCAACTTTGAATCTCATTCTTAAATTAACATTTAACATAATTAAAAAGGAGGAGAATCCACTGTTCAGGAGCAATTTTGAAAAGTTATTAAACAAAACTAAAAAAGTTTATTTTAACTATTACTATTTATTAAAATTATTATTTTTTTATAAATTTTTCTAACACATCATTGGTGTGTAATTTCCCATTAGAGAAAGAGAAAGAGCATTTCCTTTCCTTTCCTTCCTTTCCTTTTGATCTTTTGAAACTTTTCAAGGGTTTCCCACTGGAGGGTTGCGTAATGAGATCCTAAAAGTTGTATCAAATTTTCTACAGTATCTTGTAGGGGTGTGGAATCTATACCGTGGTGATTTCATGTAGATCTCACACTCTGAGATATTTGATAAAATTTTTAAAATTTTTAACATTACTCCACAGAAAAAATGCTAGAGATCTCAAAAATTGTACTAAATATTTTACCAAATGTCTCATATGAGTGTCTCACACACTCATATAAGACATTTGATAAAAAATTTAGTAAAACTTTTAGAATCTCTACCACTACTTAGCAAGAAAAATACTAGGGACCCAAAAATTTTACCATATGTCTCACGGTAAAACTTTTGAGATCTCTAGTATTACTCGGCAGGAAAAATACTAGAGACTTCAAAAAATTTATCAAATATCTCATATGGATATGAAACTCATATAGAATCACAAATTATGAATCCCATGCCCATATAAAATATGTAATAAAAAATTTAATACAATCTTTGACATCTTTGATATTTTTCCTGCGTAAATGCGGACGTATACAACACTTGCGTAAATGCGGACGTAAAACAACACTGAAAAGGCAATATGAGGCTTCGGAGTGTGGAACGATAAACAAAGCGCACTACTACAGTTCGCTGAAAAAAGCCACAGCATTATCAGTGGCTCTTGCATACGGAATTGAATAAGCGTACCAATTTACTAATTTTTAACTCAAATACACACTTATAATGGCGGATGGATGGGATCCGAGGTGCCAGGGTTGCTCTGATTTAATCCGGCACCTCAGGCTTCCTTTGGCATGAACTATTTTAATTAAATTAATCAATAAAAATAAAATAAATTAAAATAATTAATAAAATAAAATATTACATTTAAATCATAATAATTAATAAAATAAAATATTACATTTAAATCATAATAATTATATTTTTTCTCATATAACTATCAAATCAACTGCAAAAAAAAAAAAACAAATCAAAACAAAAAGTCAAAAATTATTTCAAACATAACTTTTTTTAGCCAAATTAAAATAGTTAAAAAGTCAAAAAATGACAAATTACACTAACAGTTTCTATATTTTGAGACTTGTATCACTTTGGTCCATGAGTTTTCAATTATGACACATTTAACCCTGAATTTTGAATCTTATTCCAAATAAGGACAATTGAAGATATCATTATTTAATTTCAAGAGCTAAATCGTCAACTTGATAAAAATGAATGTCAAAAAAATATTATTGAATTTTTAAAAATTATTTCAACACACTAAAGATAAAATTATGTAAAATTGATATATATTTTAAACATTTATTTATTTATTTTAATTAATTTTTACTATGTATTTTGATGATGATCATGTAATGGGTGGTCGTTTTTATTTTTATTAAATTAGTTTATATTTTTTCAAATGTCAAATATGGCAACAACTTTAATATTATTATTAAAGCAATCCATTAAATCAAAAAATTCAAAACTAAAAACATTTCATATATTAAATATATCGAGTACACATTAAAATTCTAACAACCACCCATTATATAATCATCATCCAAACACATAATAAAAATTAATTTGGTAAATAAATAAATAAATAAATATTTGAAAAGATTTATCAATTTTACATAATTTTATCTTTTGTGAGTAGAAATAATTTTTAAAAATTTAAAAATATTTAGTTGACATTTATTTTTATCAAATTAGTTTATATTTCATCGAATTGACGATTTTGCTCTTAAAATTAAGTAATAATATTTTCAATTGTTCTTATTTGAAACAAGATTCAAAATTCATGGTCCAATGTGTCACAATTGAAAAGTCAAAGATTAAAGTAATACGAATCCCAAATCATAGAGACCGTTAGTGTAATTCACCCATCAAAAAAATCAAACTAAATTAACTCATCCCAAATGAGAGCGGACAGCTTGGTTGAACCATTTCGCATGCATAACACACCATTGATTTTATTTTATATTTGTCTGGTTAATTAAAATCACTTATGCATGATATTAATTAAAATCTACTGGTTGAATTGGTTTGGTTTGGTTTTTTTAATATTTTAGTTCAATTTTGGGTCCAATAGAATTGGTTGGATTCTTGATTTAAATCATGTCTAAATTAAGCTAACCCAAAATCTGAAACTTTATATATATTACATAAAACTATTTTTTTACTAATTTGTTTTCATATAATTAGTAAAAAGTAAATATTAAAATGGATATATATTTTTTTTAATCAGAATATTAAAGTAGATATTGTTCCATGTAATCGTGCTGTGTAAGGAAAAAAATGAAGACAAATTAGACTCGTTTCATTTTTACCATCGTGTATTTGTAAATAAGGGTTTGACTTGTCTCAAATTCAAATATAAATTTGAGGGGCTTATGGAGCTCATCATGTTTTGATAATTCAAATCATTATTTTGTAAGGTTTTCAGTGTATATCATTCATAGAAAAAATTTGTTCGATCTAATAATCGTAATCTATTTATTTTATCACGTTTGTTTCCAACAAAATAAACAAGTATATTTTTGAAAATAGACTATCTAATTTTTTGAAGACAAACAACAAAATAAAAAGACTATAATTATAAGATTGACTTGATTTTTTTATGAATAATATACACAGAGAGTCTCACAAAATGACCGGTTTAGATCATTGTAACAATGGACGGATGATAAATCTCAAATTCTCTCAAATTCAAATAAATTTGAAAGAATCTTAACCCCAGATTGTTTGTGGCTGCTAGCTTTTATTAAATTTAAAAAATATTTTATTTTCTTTATATCGTGTTAAATTGTTTCAGCTTATTTATTATATGGCTTGTGTTAGAAAGTAAAAATATATGTGATTGTAGCATCCTTGTATATAATGGTTAATTATAGTTTTAATACTCAAAGTATGAGTGTTGTGTCAATCTCACCCACAATATAGAGAAGAAAAATAATAATAATAATAATAATAATAATAATTAATTAATTAATTTAGTCTCCCAATCTAAAAGTGTTTCAATTTGATCTCCATTATTTACATTGTGTCAATCTAATCTCCTAAATATAAAGTTTTTTAATTTAGTCCCTCAATATTTAAATTGCATCTATTAACATAATTACATTGTATCAAAAAAAAAAAAAAAAATTCTACACAGAGGAAATATGATTAGATATATGTGAATTTGTCTCCATAGTTTTCTGGATGAATCTTTTTTGACTGAATTGGATTCTGAGGAATTTCATTCAAAGACAATAACTAAACTTAGATTTTGAAACTTTTCCTGGTTTCAACAACTTCAACTAGAATAAACAACAAAAAAATTTAGCCATATATTGTTATTCTTAGCATTGTTCATGCATGAAAGCCTAGTATGGCTTATGTTCCTCTATCTTGGCATACTTGGAATTCATTTTTAATGAATTTAAAGTGGAAAAGTAAGATCACGAGGTCATTATTAGGTCAAATACCATTCAAATGCAAACAAACAATGTGCTATCCTGGACCTTCATCAACTGTCTTGAGTTGGAACAGAGATTCAATTGGTCAAAGGCTAGTTTAAGTTGGTCTTTACTTTGGCTTGTAATATGAACACAAAGACTAGTCATTTGAATTATTTTCCATGCTAAAATCTAACTTTTCCAATCTTGCATGAATCTTGTTTGAATAATTGGGACTGTGGCCACTTCTTTTCAAAGACAATGACACTAGAGATTATATGGGATTTGCAATGGTATGGTGATCATAATTAAAAATATTATAATTTTTTAACTCCTAAATTTGAACTTTTGAAGCCTCTCATTTGTATCACATCGACTCCCATAGGGGGGATATTTGACAAAAACGATAAAACATACCCTAAATTGATTTATAATGATGTGCAATTCTCTATACCAATTATTGGCGCTGTTTGAGAACATGAGTTTTCTGGCTATTATAGCCTAATTTTGAAAATCAGCCCAAAAGCCTACACTGTAGCAACTTTTTTCTTGATTTTCCAAAAAAAAAAAAAAATAGACTGAGCACTGGACAGTGTAGGCTGTCACAGCCGGAAATGGTTACATCAACAGCTCAATTACCATTTTGCCCCTCAGCCGAAAATTAAAAAATATATAATTATAGGGACAAAATGGTCATTTTAATTACAAACATCTTTTCAACACATTTTTTAATACACTAACTCAAATAAAAATTTAACCCAACTTCCCAAACACAAAACCAAAATAACCTACTAAAATAGTCAAAAAACCCAATAGTCTACTAAAATAGCCACTTCCCAAACGAGGCTATTAATTGATTTAAAAATTCGCGACTAACACAACCCCTTATCTCCTCTTATTTATTACATCATTAAGGGTGAATTTGTGAGTCAAAAATAAGATTTCTACCGTTTCTCATTGATATATAGTGGAAAAATATTGAGACCCTTAAAAAGATTTTTTTAATTTTACTCACAATGACATGACAAGTTACATGTCAACTT